TTGCCCCATTGAATTTTGACACGTCGTATCACACAACCCGCCAGCCATTTATTATGTCTCTCCGCATTCACCTGGACCGCTATTGCCAACTGCGAGCTATGTCCCACGAGAGGATCTCACCTACACGACGCTCACGCTCTCCAACCAGAACATCGTCTTCCGCTATGGGCTCTTCGTCACTTCAGCACCCACCCAACCGGTCTTCGCCTACGACACCTCACCGACCGGTTATTTTCCAATTGGACCTGAAGCCGATGCAACAACTGGCCGTACGCAACCCTTATTACAACATCTTGACCCCCACGGTCGCGGGCAACCTTCCTACGGCCACCTATGACAGCCTGTTCCAGACGTTCAAGGTGATCTACCCGGACTATGCTCGCAGTCATTTCGTTTCAGACCTCAAAACCGTAGTCACCGACACGTTGCTACAACGCTGGTCGATACACCTACCAGCGTCAGATTTCTACATGATGATTGACACCGATCAAGGAGCTCAGATGCTTGACGACCTTCCTCATTCTCTTTTGGATGTTTTGAACTGGTTTTACCCGAGATGGAAAACTCATCAACATCTCGATGCCTTCACGACCCGTGAGTGTTCACCGTTGCTGCTTACACCCCATCCGGATGCACAAGACACAGGCTTTGCTGTACATGTTCAAGTTATTCCCCGTGGGCATCCATTCGTCACGGCCACCAGATACACTAAAGCGGCCGAGTGATTAGCCGTCTTGATAGATCTCGGCGAGGCTCACGTCTATGAGGAAAAAAGGAAAACACTCGTTATGATGTCCACCTTCCCGGTTCTGATTTTTCTTTGTGTCATCCATTTCTCTTTTTCCATTTGGTGATGTTCGTTATTTATTCCTTCATCATTGACCTTCCCCACGGCTTTTTGGCTTCAGTTCAGTATTTCTCGTTATCATACTCTTGTGATCGTACATGATGACCTCCAACACGGATGATCCTGCTCGATTGGTCTCACACCGTTCACCACCTACATCCATACATGGCCTTGTCTCACACCTGCCACCTGATGATCCTACCTCGGCATCCTATATTCCTCGTGCAGCGCGAACAATTCCGACTTCTACCACTGTCCATTCCGTCTTCATCAAGAAGCTGAGCTATCCTTTGTCTAACCGTTCAGATGAACTTTGGATCGTGGAAAGGACACTTGATGGTATTGAAACGTGGAAACCAGTGGAAACATTTCTGGAGAACATGCACCTCACCAACGACCAGGCGACCGTGCGTACCACAGCTAATCATTGGCGCCGATACTATGACGTACCAATTCAATCATCATCCTCCTCCCCTACGGCAACTACAGTTCCCGTTTTACCACACCCTGAACACTCCAACGTCTATGTCTCCCAACCGTACGAAGCGATACCGGACCACCTCCATATTTTGCAGTCATGCTGGGGACGCTCTGCCCAACACCACTCTCAAGGAACCACTACCTCTTTATATTGGCCACCTTGGCGGTCTACACCACCTTCTTCCCCATCGGCAACACTACAACGTACTGTACATCTCACTCGCCCCGCCGTCCATCCTCAACAAGTACATGGCCCACTGGATGCGAACGATATGGACCCGATGGATATGTCGGACTCAAGTGTGTAATATACCACATCATTTGTCGGCTTGAAAAAAGACCTGTGATTTACCGTCTCTTTGTGTGACCATTTACTAGGTACACCGTTTCTCTTCCCTTTCCAACACTTTGAGCTTTATTCTTTGGTCATTTCAACCCATTTTGCAGCTTGGGCTTTGGGCTTTTCGCTTTATCCTCGACACTTGATATTCGACGCAATGGCTCATTCTTCTCGGCCCCATCCATATCGCGCTACATCCACGATTGAGACACCGCTTGGTACACGAACCGTTGGATGGTTTGCTGGACATCGAGGCCTTCCTGGTGATGTGAACCCTCCTCCAAACAGGCCCGTTCTTATCTTGGTTGACTTCTCTCCCCTACAGGCATTGACTCACCGAAGCGAACCTGACCGTGAACACTACATGGCTATGGCGAGCTCCAATTTTAGAAATGTTAGTGGCTACGAACTTGAGGCTCTGTTTACCTGGTCACGTCAGATGGAACCAGTTGAAGCCGGCCTCATCCCAACTGGCGAACTTCGCTTCTGTATCTCCAAAAGATTGAGGTCCCAATGGGACATCCAAATTGATCCCTCGAATTTGGAGTTTCGCTTTTGCGACCTGGACGGTGATACATTCCAAGTGTCCAATGATATGACGATCTTGCAGCTTTTGGAGGAATACCGACCTGAATGGAGACTTCGGCAGTACAACTCCCGCGAATCCTCTTTGCTCATTCCGGGTACCACGCAGCCTTTCGTACTACGTCTGCAATGCTACAAAATTAGCTCCGGTGTGATCTTGCCCTGATACGCTAGCCGGCCAAAACGACCATTCTGCGGGTTTTCTACTCTCTCTTGACACCTCATCAACACAAGGGACTTTTTGATTTATACCGTATTTGTCTTTGAGCTTTGGCTTCTTTGTCGCAATTGAACCACTTGATTGCGAACTGGACTTCGTTATTCTTAGGTTTTCATGTTCTTGCTGGACTTATTTACGCAATTTTTGATGCCTCAGCCTTTGTTGCACCATTCCTCACATTTCCGATCGTTTCACCTATGGAGCACAAACGAGACGCGACCGTTGCGGGTTTGGCTTGGCCTTCGAATCCTACTCGTGGACTTGCTCCTACTGACCCTGCTCAAGTACCAGACACCCAGGCTGCTGCATTTTGTCATTCTGACGTTTCTGACCCTCCTACCAACACCACTTCGGGCCCCTTGGCGACTGACAGTACAGCTCTTGACCCTGGAACTACGATCCATTCTGATACATATTCAGGCCTTGCACCTCCTGATATCCCGTTTCCGACGGAGCCAAGCTCTACACACAACTACCCCCATCGTGCTCACTTCTCTTCCCGCGTGGTTCACCAGATCCAATTCAAGATCTTTACCCACTCCAACAACACCAGGGAGCTATTCATTGAAGAGATCCCCTTGTCAGGGCTCTCCAGATGTCGTGATCCTGAACACTACTTTTATGGTCTTTCGGGCAATTGGGAGTGGTCCCTGCGCACAGCGGACTATTGGCGCCATCATTTTGAAATTCCCCTAGTACATGGCCATCAACCTTTTCACAACGTTCCCATTGAGACCACGGCACCTACGGAGGTAACCCGCTTTATCCCGACGATCCAGGACTTGGCTCAACAACTTTCTACCACTTTGAGGGCTGCTATGGCATCTGGGGAAATCAACGATACGTGGAGAGCGCTTGAGGACATGAGCTTCCGTGACGCGATCGAAACACTTCAAGCTGAGACGAGCCCCCTTCTTAGTGACTGAATACAGTTATGTACATTAGCTCCGGAACAGCTTTATGTATCTAATTTTGTCGACATTGCTGCGATGGTCTTCCAAAAAATCAAACCCCGCTATAAGCGGGGTGTGTGTGTGTAACATCTGAACAGATGTAAAACTTCCTTGACTCTTGCCGTGTTACTTTTACAGGAAACCTGTTTATATTCGCAGGGGGACTGGAGCCGATTTGCCTATCCAGTCCAACGAAGCTATGGCATTTCGGTGGATGAGTGGTCTGATCAACCACTTGTACCTGCAAAACTCTGTTTGAACTGTTGACCAAGCTGTTACACTGCGTTGTTTCGACTCTACACGGTTGCCACAATCTGTATTGCATGCATCAGAACCTTCCTCAGATTTTCGCCGAAACCATATCGCCGACAGTATTATGATTTTTTGGCATATTTTCGCCGAGATCATGTCGCCGACGAACTTTGGGTCTTTTTGGGAAACAATCGCCGAAACATTATTTTGGATTTTCAACATGCTGGTCAAAACTCTATGGACTCTGGTTTTAACTACGTTTGACAATATTGGATGCCCTACATCGTTTTCGAGAAGTACCTCATATGGCTCCTTTATTAATCTAACGATCTAGGCTGGTTTGCATGTTTCAGGATTCAGTTCCTGCCGGATCATATAATGATCCATTCTTGTCTAGTGTGTGTGTGTGTGCGCCCCTTTTAAGTGCTCACACCAAGAACCTCTGGCCAGGACCATGGGTCGGGACAAATCTCTTTATCTATCCAACAACGTATCTTTAAATTATTTATTTATTTATATATATATATATTTGTGTGTGTGTGCTAAATTTAGTTTAAGACATACAATTTGATTTTTCCATTTTTTTGAATCTCACGCTGCGCATTTTGTCCAAAGTGAATGGCGATTAGAGTTTGCAAGCATTGCCGCAACAGAGCGGCCAAGTTGAAATGACAAGATTTGATGCGTGCAGGAAAATGATGCGGTTCTCATAGTTGGTTGGTGTTACCCCCTGAGTCAGAACCTTTTGCAAACCAAGGTTCTAAGTGTGCAAAATTTTTGGGTTCTAACTGTAGGGCGACCAAATTTTGGAAAATTTTTGAGGTTCTAACTCGGTGTCCGTCAGTATATATATATACAATTATATATATATAATTACTGTATATATGATTATATTATGATTATATATATATTGTTTAAAACAAATATTTATGATCTTCTGGCAATCAAACACAGCTGCCTGGAAAACCCACCATTTATAGACAATGTTCTGATTGAAACGTCCATTTCTAGGGCATTTGCCAGCCGGCCATGTTTGGGTTGTGAATCACAACTTTTGTTGTTGTTGTTGTTGTTGTTGCTACTCAGTGGCTTGGTGGGGCTGTTGGCGGTGCTGACCATGGGAACCTGGGAACATTCTGAACGGAAGTTCAACTAGCGCCTTTCATGATTTGTTCATTCCATCTGGTTGGTGGTTTCAAACATTTTTGTTATTTTCCATAATATATGGGATAATCCTTCCCATTGACTTTCATATATTTCAAGATGGTTCAAACCACCAACCAGCCATTTTCTTTTGGCAGTCACCAATAATTTCACCAACAGGTCTCCAACCCGCAGAATTCGCTGATCCGCGAGTGCTCCTTCAACCCAACCGATTCGTCCATCGTTTGCGTCCCTTGGATTGGCGAGAGGAAGACCGGGAAGACCGGCCAGGCCAAGATTGGCCAGTGCCGTGTTGGGATAAGATCTTTACAGTGCAATTTACTAGTTATTTCTATGGTTATGGTGATGGGGTGATGACATTCCATCGTTTTTTTTTCACTTATAACTGACGTACAAGTGGTAAAGGGCCAAAACTGTATGATTCATGCAATGGTTATCGCTTTTAAATGGGGAGCCAGTTGGAGCTACCAGTAGAGTTCCCAACCACATGATTAGTAGTTATGTTACTATGTTTGCATTTTCTTAAAGAATCTTTGATCCTTCCAAAAAATGTGAAGATTCTCAAAGAACTGCCTAAGACGAAGCTGCCGTTGAGGTCATTGGCGACGGCATCTTGAAGTTTATGCAACTGAAGGTGAAATTTTATGTAGCCGCTGGTAGCCATGATGTTGGCAGTGGGATATGGTGAAATTTTGGGGAGTAGATGGGAATATCATGGAATATCATGTGAGATTTCATGGGGTTATACTATGGGATATGCTTAAAGATTACCAGGTATGTTTCAGTGGTGAACAAACAGCCGCGAATTGGATAGGCATTAAACAATGCCATTGGGCCATGGGGATTTCGTAGGGATAAAGTATGGGACATAGTGGGATATATATATATATATAAATAAATAAATAATCAACTTGAAATCATAAATTGTGTCTGGACATGCAGGCTGCTCAGAATTGCCATGTTTCAGCAGGAAAATGATGACAGACCAATTAATGGGGGAGAAGATATGTCCAGAGAAAGCCTGTGCGAGATCAAGGTGAGTGTAGGCATTTCTGCCAGACGATGTATTGAGTTATGTAGGCAACAATAGTGTATACTGTATACTTGGCAATTATTATTGTCTGGAAATATTGAAATTCAATGGTAATTCTTGGCAATTATTATTCTCTGGCAATTATTGTACTTGGTAATTATTATGCTTGTATTGGGAATTCACGTGGGGAAATGAATGGACACCATGTTTCTTTCACCAGCGTGGTGGTGGGACACTTGGGCTGGCAGCAGATACGTGGTTGTATTGTTTTAACACGTGTTACATGTTTCCTGGGTTTGCATTCACTTCCATGTTTTCAGGCCAAACCTGGTTTGACATTCACCCAGAAGAAAACCTTCGGAAAAAAAAAGTTGTTGCTCGAAAGATTGTTACAGTGCAATGGGATTAAGATCAATGGAATGGACATGGAACTGTATGAGTTACCCTTCTCTATATGTATTAGACATTACATCGTATATTATTATTACTATTATTATTACTACTATTATTATATATATATAGATATATCATATACATGCATAAATCTGTGTATCTATATGTATATATATATGCATATGTATGTCGAAGCCCCAGGGTTCAATTACGCCAGGATGGCTTCAAAACATTGCCAGTGGCTCCAGCAAAGCTTCAAAGCTTTATGTGCACCTCGCCCTCGCCGGGTAGGCCATGCCAGCAAAAATGAGCCCCCTTTATGGTACAAACCAGGCGAAAAATAAACAACATCACCCTTTAAATATACACAATCAATGTTTATACAACAATGTTTATAAACAACAATGTTTGATGAGTATATTAGTATATTCATTTTTTTTTTAGGAAATGTATTAAACAATGTTTCTAGGCTGAATAAGCATTGATGAGTATGTTTCACACAATCCCATCAATGGAAGTCAACTTGACGGCCCTCTGCAAAAAACCCTCCGGGGGTCAACGGCGCCCGGCGATCTTTGCAGGGGACCTTCAGTCAAGACTTGGAGCGAAACAATGTGTATCTATATATAATAATATTATTATTATCATATATATATAATTATATAAGTATATATATATATACACTGTATATATAATATTGTTATAAATATATATATATATATCATATACCATCACATACCCATGACATCCCAGGATTCCCTGCTTGATTCAAATCAACATCCCACTTGTTTTTCCCGCATTAAGGCCACACGTGGTTGCACGACGATAAGATGCTGGTGGGGGCAGACAATGGTGACCTGCTGCTCTTTGACAATGCAGGTGGGTTGGTGTCACCTATGTTCATTCTCCGATGAGGATCCTGTTTGAAACATAGGTTTGTCTGAACTTATCTGAACCCATGCTGAATCATCATTCTTCCTCTCAATAAACCTATGAAAAATTCCATGAGCTGTGCATCAATTGGGAAACCCAAACCGCGGCCGTCGGCCACGACGGCCACGACGGCCACGACGGACAGGTGAGTTTCAAACCGTGCTGCCCACGAGCCCCGGCGAGCCGCGAGCTGCCACCTGTGTGATCCCCTTTTCGAAGGCGGGATGTGGAGGGAGTCGAATTGGATCCAGCTTGGATCCGGTTGGGAACATCGATCTTTCGGATATTTTGAAAGTGAAGATTTGAAAATCCTAGAACTCCAAACTGGGAACATTGATCTTTTAGGACATATTTTGAATATAGGTTGAAAGTGAATAGATGTGCCCTGTATTTTTCAAACCTATTTGTTTTAGGAATGGAAAAGTAAAGATTTCAAAATCCTAGGTTTGCGGTTGAACATGGGCGCAGATTGGATGATGGGAACAATTTTCAAGAAACTCCTCATATTGAGTGAAACAAGCTTTCCTGCACTGTTGAAGGCATCCTACCATCTCTGGCGGAACATTGAGGTGTGTATTGGTAGACTGTATCTAAGACTATTCATATACTGTATAGCCCCTCCAAGATTAGATATTACTCGGTGGTGTGCAAGCTTGAGGGACACAAATTCTTCACAATTGGAGCACCGCCCCGGCGTATGTTTATCGATATCTCAAATGCAAGGCATCCCCAAATGTGGTCAGGGGATGTCAGGGATTGGTGGCTAGATTAGATTGCTTGAATAGCGCTTAAGAAAGCTCCTTTCCAGCTATAGGTGGTTCATACCAAACGAAATCCTTAAAACCACCAAGAAGCTGAACATGAAGTTCAAACATTGAAAGTCCTAAGTCCCATCTCCTTCAGGTCGATTCCCCCACCACACCAGCTGTGGCAGGGCTTCATCATTGGTGGTGACGATGGCCGTATTCGTGCAACCTAGATGAAAGTCAGTGCTGTGGGGCGTGGTCTCATTGTAAGAAACAAATGAGCAGGATCATCATTCATCATTGTTTTTGCATGTTTTTGCAGGTGATGGTGATCATGTTTATTATTACTTTTCAACAATACTTGACAAGAAGTCAGAACTACCCATCCAACTTGGGGATGGTTCTAAGTTGGACAACTCATGACATTTGTCACCGGCCCAATCAAATGTAGCCCATGTTCAGTGGTACCCCACGTTGGCTCGCCCTTAAAACACCGAGATCTACGAGAAAAGCGATGAGCCCAAGGACGGCTGGTGAGCTGGGAAACGAGCTGGTGAAAGTGGTCAATGGACGATAGTTTCAGAAAGAAATGGGTATATACATTTTGCATCATATGAGATGTGCTGCACCTGTGATCATGTTGACAACACACATATATGAGATGAATACATAATCGTGTTTTTTTCGGAGGTAGCAAAGGATTATCACATCCCAATTGATACAATTAATGGTGTTTTGTTTGTTTTCGATGTAGCCTAGCCATACCAAGATCATTGAATCCTGGTGAGTTTAGATGTTCAAATCAACTGGGCTTCAAATGTCAACGCAGTGAGAAACTCGCCAGGAGATTTATCGTCAAAGCAAGGTGCTTCAAGTGGAGCCCAACTCAGGTGCCTCCCCATTTTTCGGACGAAATTTGGGAAGTATCCACGTCAGTGTCCCATTTATTCTGACTCGTCATAAGTTTTTAGTTGTGTATAAAACATTTGTTTGGCAGTACACAATTTTAGCCCACACCCATGTAAACCTTGGTGAATGGTCTGTTCTATGGTGGCCATGAAAGGATGTCATTTTTACCCTACCTGAAAGATGAAAACAACATAATTACTGGTATCATGGCCCGCAACAATGGTGATTGATTAAGACACAGTGACAACTCATGGATTCAAACAAACAAACTCTGGAAATGGTCAATATTGGGGACACCGTAATATTTCATGGCCGATCCAATCAGGGGTCTGGAAATCGAAAAACAATCAATATTTCAGATGGTTCAAGGTGACGAAAGGACATCCCCACAGTGGCCCAAACGATAGGGTAAGTTGGTGTGTAGCTAGGCTACCGAATGAGTTTAGATGGATTTTTGGTGCATATATATCCCGTTTGATGGGTAAACGCAAACCAATTTCAATATGCCTGGGTGTTTCAAACAGTTGCTTTTATATATTTCCAACCATATCTAGGATGATGATGACCCCAAGTGACTTATTTGGGTTCTTTTTTCATGACCTGACTGTGACATCACCAGAAATTTGGTTAGTATAGGGAACCACCCCAAATGACCTGGTGAATGACCATACCCTCCGATAATTCAACATGGCAATGCGGCATCATCATTTCCATGGGAAAACCAGCTATAAATGGATAAACATGGAGGATTTTCCATTGCCATATGAAATTGCCCCAGTTATGGCCCTTGACCAGTTATGAGTCAGTAAGCCACCCCATTTATGGAATGATAGCCCCATTTAGAAGTGGTCAATGGCCATAACTGCAGAGAGTAAATCACCCAGGTGTTGTCGGTGTCCCTGGCAGGTGCGGCGGTGCGATCATTGGCTCTGAGCCCCTCAGAGGAGATCCTTGGATAAAAAATGGTGTGTGGATCACACTATATATTTATATATATATATATATATACATAGTGTTATTATGTATATATTATATACATTACACTGTATATATATATATTCCTTTATATTCGATTTATATTTATATTATATCTTATGTCTATATATATACACGTACTCTATCTTATATATTCATTGTATCATGTATGTGCATACACTGTATTATGTATACATATATATATATACATATGTATATATACATACATATATATATACACACACTATTGATGAACTATAATGACCTCAAGGTGACGTCACTGGAATGATGGTCAGTAGGGGTAACTATCCCCAAGGGAAGCTTTTTGCAGATGAGTGAACTATTATATTTTACCAATATTCATATATATATACATAATGTACATATATACACATACACAGTACAGAACATACTATGTTTATGTGTATATACGTACACAGTATTACGCATTACGTATATGCATACACACACGCTATGTCCACTATGCTATGTATGCCTGCATATATTACACAGACACAAATTAGTAATACATATACATATACATATACATATACATATACAGTACATATACAGTACATATACAGTACATATAAAAATATGATATATAATGATATTCTCTCTCTATAATATATATATATATATAATATAAATAGAGAAGGCGTAATGCAACCGCGATATTGGAGGGATATGGAAGACCATCATGAATGGTGGCTGTCTGTCCTTACTCCAAAACAGATTGCGGAACCAGGCCTCTGCGGAAACTCACCAGGGATACTTGCAGTTTTTTTTGGTTTGTGGTGACGGATATTTCACTGGGTGAGACACATATAATATATATATATATATAGAAACATGATGACATGTATACTTCAACTGGTACAAGTGTTCTAGAGATGTTTATGATTTGCATGTTCCAATTTGAGTGGTACCTATGAATGCCTTGATCCACTAGAAGGCTCAAGATAGATTCCGGAAATCCATGCCTTTTGAACCACGATAGTCATCAAAGTCAGAGACTCCTGTCTTTCAGGGTCCAGAGGGCAAAACTCAGAATCTGGTTAAACAACCTCATGAGTAGTTTCTCCAGATTTTTGTTTGCCCAAACATCTATTATATCATGATGTTCCCTTCTTTCAGAAATTCCCAGACCCCTCAGAGCCTCAGCCGAGGTTGCTAGGAGTGAGTACTTCCACTGCTCAGCTGTATCAACTCTCTTTGCTGGGTCAAGATTTAATGAAGGCCGAGGACCGCTGGACCGTATTGCGCGGCTGGCGTGGCTGTGGCGGGTTGCCATGTGCTCAGATGATGTTCCAATGGGTGGATTTTGGATTATACTGTTTTTTGAGACGAGAAAACGTAGAATCTAGATGAATTTAGTAAGATCCAATCTTAATGTTCAATGATATTTAATGTCTCTTTAGTGGCTTGTTTAAGTTTTTCTGTCATTCTATGGCATGGCTTTACGGCGCTGTCCTGGTTCTCCACCCTGGGAGAGCCAGGAGTCTCCTGCCTTTGAGCCAGTGCTGAGTCATTTCCACACGGGCGCCGTGACCCAGAAAGGATCCGGCTGGTGCTGGTATGCTAACATTTTTATGGGGCTGACACTGATGGGATCCATGGCACACCATATTTTTGGCACCATGGATCCAACAAGGGTCATGGTGGTTTTTCCATAGGTTTTTCCAGATCTATGTTAGCTTGGAGATGTTTAGAGGCTAACATGAATATACAATGAGGAGAGTGGACTGAAGAATGGTATGTTTGGGGGTTGAAGTCAAATGCTGATGTTCATTTAACAACCACCACGTTTGAAAGCTGGCCAAATTTTGTAGTTTAAATCACCATCCACTGGGGGGTGATCTCTTCCTCCCAAGCAACTACAGGGAGAAGCCAGCAATTGTGTTTGTTCATCGATGTGGGTTATCTAACTTATGGACGTAGTTTGTTTTATCTATAAATGATGTGGACTTTTTGAATTAAACTTGGATAGGTACTGTCATGCAACTTTACTCTAAATTACCATCAATGGGAACATATGAGCCAGTTTTACACAACATGTTGCGCTGAGTATCTAAGATGGGTCATGATGTACCACATGTTGCCATGCTTGGTTGACGAAATCTGCATCATATCCCACTTCTGCTTGGGGTGAAATCCTAGGTTGTTCTCTGCCGGGTGACCTTGGGGCGTTCCCCAGCCGTTCAGAGTTGGACTCGGGGAAACCATGGTGTTCCCCTCCATTTTCACACCATGAGAAACCCAAAGAAGCCCACCAGGTGCCATTTTGGGCCTGGATGTTTGCATCCGAAAACCCTTGGCCTCTCGGTGACAACGGAGAATCGCAACGTGGTTGTTGTTCAAAAAACAAGGTGCTTTGTGCAATACAAACATGCAGGGTTCACGTGAGTTTACTGGTTTACCAGGGATGGCTCGAAAGACGGAGATGTAGCCAGCAAAGTTTTTTTGGGGGGGAGGACCAACAGAATGGTGATGTAAGACGATGTAGCCAGTGGTGAGTATACAACCAAAGTGGGGATAGACACAAGAAGCAAAATGGATATATGGCGACTCAACAAGTGGTGCCGCAGAAATGTTGCCATGTTTGCAGTGGCGCCCTCCAATTTTTGGGGGTCAAGTAGTTTGAACAAACAGATCTGTGAGGAAACTCCAGAGAGGCTACAAGATGGAATCGGACCTCCCAGCCGATTCAAAGCAACAAAACACATCTATTTAGGTTACTAAGATTGCCTGGTAATTCTGTGAGATTTGTTCACAACAAAATCATTTAAACTTACGATGTCTGTGTTTTTTTGGGACTCCCATATGGCCAGTCACTCCGCTCACGAGGTGGTGACCTGTGGAGTTGACAAGTCGGCACGGGTCTGGAACTACTTCGAGAAGACCTGCGTCATGTGCCGCTGGTTTAACGAAGAGGCCGCTGGGTAAATCTGCGACATCCCAGTTGGGAAGTGCCTTGAGTATCAACATACTGTGGATGGTTGCGAAATCCTGCACCAGTTGATAGATGGTAAACATCCCACTATTTATAGGGTTGCAACCATCCAAGGTGGTGCAGGATTTCTTCCATCCACAGTATCTCAAAGTACTTGTAAATCTATTTAGGAGTTGTTGAAATTAGTAAAGAGTGCTAAAATAGCACGTGAGGAAAACACTCAAAAATGTTTTTCCGACTGGGTACAGGTTGAGGTGGTTTTTGACTATGGATTTATACTCCAGTCGCAAATGCAATTGCCCCAATTGAGACTTATCAATTAGCACCATTGTTGGGAAATCATTGTTGTGGAGAATTTGCGTGTTCACAGAGATTCAACCAACCCTCAAAATTGACCACCCAATAAGAATATAACATATATATATATCTACTACTTGGTGGTTCACCCAGTTAGTGAGTGGATTGTGACCACATTACGAATAGGACAAGTAGGATTAATTGGTAATTGTTAATTTAACTGGGGCTATAACACATTACAACCCCTGCCTAACTGCTTTGATCTACCAAGTAAGGGAGTACATGGGAGTACCAAGAACGAAGAGTTGGTGTTTCTTGGTGTAGTCGTGACCATGGCCCAATGGCTGGCCAAATCCAGGGCGCACCAGATGTTTTTGGCGGGTTACCATCATGATGATTCCCATTTTTTCGAAATAGCCATTAGAATCATTAGATAGCCATTGCTGTTTTCCAAAATCAACAGAACCTAGTTGAACTAGTGTGTTGTTTTCAATAATGTTTGACATGTTCACGACTGTGCTGGTGAATTTCTGTTGACATGCCAATTTTGTTGTGTGAAATTCTGGGCGTTTGTGTTTCAATATTGCCATTTGCTTGGGTTTAGAATCCCCGAATGTCTGCCGTTCCTTCTTCACACCTAGAACGTGGTGCCCCCTACTTGTGTTTGTTTGTTTATTAACCCCATCAACTTGTCAACTATAGTGTGATATATACGTATATATATATATATATGTGTACCATAAGCCCAGCAGTTATGTTGGTTATCTATGGTTATTTCAACCAACGGCTCGCGATATTCGCGAGCCGCTCAAAAAAGGTCACTTAAGGTCGACTTGCATCGGGCATCGACTTGCTTTTTTTGCCAGGCATATAGTATCGCCTTCCACCCCTCGGGCTTTCATTTGATCATCGGGCAGTCAGACAAGTTGAGACTTATGAACTTGTTGATGGAGGCACCATGGGGGATGATGGGGGATGAACAGGATGAACAGCGACCGTCAACGACCCCTGGGTGAGTGATGCAAACAATTAATTAGGCCCGCAACTAATTATTGAATAGCCTGAATTGAGACTCACGAAAGTTGATGCAGGAGCTTGGGGCATCCCCGGAGAAACTGTGCTGATTTCGCCATTAAAAAAATGAAACACTTAACGCTGATTGAATATGGATGTGAGCTATTCGCAAGTTGATTAGTCGGAGTCTGTCAGAATTTCATTTGATAAAGACACACCAAGCCACTAGGTTTGAGGGATTCACAATAATGGAATCCATCCCCTCTTATCAACGGTGGCTACTATGAATCATCCCAGCAGCTGTATAGCCAACAATAGACTCAATACACCCCTAGGGATTTAGTATTCTGAATCCCCCATTTAGACGTATATCATAGCATCATCACCTATGCCCAGTTGGGTGCATCTAGAAAGCAGTCAGCACAGAACCACTATTCGCATAGCACCAATGTATGTCATATATGCCATGCATTGGTGGTATGCGAATAGTGGTTTTGCTTTTGCTGATGTCGAGCATTGGTGAATTTGTGGGTGATTCTTAGGGGGTGAACCGTTCAATCAGCGAACTCTAGCTAAGGTTCATTAACCCACGGTTGACATGATGCAACATGAGGGTCTCTTAAAATATCTTAAAATGGTGGACCCCAAAACTAGCGGTTAACGGTTTTCCGATTTTAAATGACCAACTTTTGTTGATTTTGAGGATCCTCATGTTAGCACCACATGACCCGTGTGGTATGCATCCGATGTTCCGGCCTGCACCTGCTTTTGCCGCAGCTTTGTAGGATATGAAGACCTACAAGGACATTGCCATCAAGCAATGCAGAGAATGTCGCTTTAGACGCTTGGTGGTGTGGAGGTTGTGGGGTAAATGAACTATTGGAGATACTCTGTGTGTCATGCAAAAAGTCATGCGTCGTTCGACCCATGATAACTCTCCTTGAGAAGTTTCAAACAAAACCAGCTGTTTGATGGTTTTAGCCGGTTATACAGTGTTAATATCCAATGCCTGTGAAGGTTATTACTGTATGACCTGACATGAACTAACGGAGATACTTGGAGATTTTCCAATAGCTTTTAGTTCCACTACCCTCTGGTAAACTAACATAACTATGGAAAATCACCATTTTTAATGGGAAAATCCACTATAAATGGCCATTTTCAATAGCTATGTTAGTCATTACCAGAGGGTATGTTTCACTCTTCACTGGATAACTCGACCCCTTTCAGAGAACAAAAAGGCAACGGCGGTCAATACTTTGCGGCGGTGAATACCAATGCCACCAATGCCATTCAGGTGACGCGGCCTTTCTGTTGTGGGATTTTTTGGATGGGTTGTAACCAACCATGGTGATTTAAGCAACAGAAATGACGGTATATTGATGTATGATGTATATATAATTATATATATATATATATTACATACATATATATATATATACATATATATATATATACATATATATATATACATATATATATATATACATATGGTATATTGATGATTCTTGATGTAATTTGGGGAGATGAGGATATCATTGGGATTCTCCTCATAAATTTGCGGTTCACTGGAATGGGATTTGGCCTGGGGGGAGTATCTTAAAATGGCATAAAATTGCATTGGTTTGGTAGAATGGTAATGACCAATATGGAATGGTATTCATCTATTGATTAAGTATATATGGAATGGTAATTATAGCAAAATAGATTAAGGTTGGTGAATGACCATAATCTATCCAGATAAGATACCACGCACAGACTACGATGACTATGTGCAGCAAAATTAGGAACTTTAAAAGTTCCACGATGAAGCAAGTTGCCAGGAGTTGGCCAACTTACCACGGCATAGTTCGTTCCGGCCTACTGGACTGCTTTCATAAACACGCCTACTGGACCCTTCGAGCAAGGAGAATAGATTGGGTAGCCTGACAAAGGTCCAAAGATTGTTAAAGATCCGAACCTTGGATGTGATCCGAAGATCAAGAACAGTCGCAGATACCGTGTATTATATATATATATATGCATTATATAATATGTGATTTTATATATTATAAATATTTAATATACTATTTGGGAATCTGAACTGAAATCTATTCTATTATAGTGGACTTGAGCTATTCCCATTCATCGGAGGTGTATAAAACCTACACCTGTGAGCCCATCGAGACCCTTCGGGGCCACACCAACAAGGCGGAGAGCAACTGCTGCTGCCCCAATACTTGGCGAAGTTGAAGTTGGTAACCATTGACATAACAACTGAGGTTTATGGAAACTATACATATGTTGATTGATGGGGATGACAAAAAACAACTTGCACAGTACGTAACCTAACTGGGGGCGCACCAAAATCATTGATATAACGGGCATAGGGAGAGAGGAGGTTTCATGCCCGAAATCACTCAACAGTCTTGCAAAAAAAATCAAATATTGTTGGTTTATCCACAAAAAAAAATACATTTCATGGGGGCGGGGACTTCTTTAGCATGCAGCTATGATCATGAAAATGGAGGAATCACACCCGTTGATTGGCATCTTTCATGGAGTTTTGCGAAAAAAAATCTTCAGACCCATTGATCAAACCTTGGAAGTTTAGGGGACAAAAACGGAAAACAAACATAGAATTGATAGAATTGATAGAATGTCTATATAGAAAACGAGTCCATATTTTCTGGGATAGAATGTCTATGTCAAAATGTGTTGAATTATGTTGAATTCGAAAAATGGTGGCCACGAGGGAGTTGGCCAAACCTCCCCAAAAAGATGGCAAAAGGAAGAGGATTGTCCTATTGATCATGATCCATGTTGAATTTGAGAGGTGTCTCAGTGACTCGTGGTGAAACCCTGGATGATCCTGGAGGATTGTAGGGGCTTCTGTCATCCTTGGTGTATTAATTGTATATAATATACATTATATATATATGTTGACTATTGGGATATTTCAGATCATATCATAGTCTATGAACTGGAAATCCTCATGATCCTCCTTGTTCAATGGCTCGATTTTCCAATAGGCTCTAGCTCCACTGCTCACCTTCCATAGATTTTCGCTCATCCCGGTGCAGGTTCGATCTGTTGCATGGACTGCAGACGATAGCATGCTGGTGTCCACGGGTGCTGATGGCGCTGTCTACGAATACTATGCGTCTTGTCACAGCAAGAGAAAGGTGAAACATGTCCAAACGGCAGATCTGGAGCAAAGGCCCAAAGTTGCGGAACACCCACTGGACAACTAACTCCTGGTAAATCATGTGTTCAATCCTTTATCATCCTTCATCCACTAGGTTTCTTCATAGTTCCCTGGTTCCCCAGCAGTTCTTCCACCATTTCGGCATCGGCATTTGCCCCGTTGGCCGTTGGCCCCGTTGGCCGCGTCGCCAGGTCCAGGCCGAAACGGCCAACCCCGGCCGCGACGGGCGCCGGGTGCACGACTTCGTGCAGAAGACCTCGTCCTTCAGCTGCGTCATCGTTCATTCGGACCAGAGCTCCAACTTCAACACCATGCCGCGTGGCAGAAACCCTGGAATGTCCTGCCGGGAATGTCCTGCCGGGAATGTCGCCTCTGGTAATAAATTGTTACACTTTGCGAACAGTTTGCACATTTATGATGTTGATTTACCGAACTTAAAGATGGTGATTTTCCATAACTATGTTTGAATATGGCCGTCCAAAAGCCCTGTTGGTTGAGGAATTGATATGGCATTATATGGGAATGATATTGTACTATCCAATAGTAATTGCGAGTTATCACATTATTTGGGTGATTTGGAGAGATAGTGAATATCATGGGAATATCATGGCAATATCAGTGTATCTGGCCACGGAGATAGTGCAATCACTGTACTTTTTGAATAGACTGGGCATATCGTGGGAATATGACTGATTAGGAGCAATCACCTGATATACCCATGTATATGTATGTGTATATATCTAGTATGTATATATATATATAACGTTTATGGATGGTCCATGGAACGATTTTTAATAACCAGGTAAATGGGATATCCTGGGATATACTAGTTTTTTTTTGTTTAGGACACGGTAAGCAACTTGACATGATTTGGGTGTTGTATCTGACACTGGGGATACCAGGATACCCCCAAAGTTGCCATTTTAATAGGAAAATGAGGAGAAACTAAGCCATCACATTTTGGGTACCCTATTCTCAGACAAACCCAGATGGTGCTACATAAAACCAGAAATAAGGAGTCGGGAATAAAAGGTCCACACATGGTGGGACGGCATGTAACCTGTGAGAATGTGCGCACTAGATGGTAAAGAATGGGTAGACAGCTATCAACAACGGGTCAACTAAACATCAAACAATGGCTATATAGATGATGGTAGACAAGCAGTAAATCAATGTAGATAGTGGGGTGAAAAACTAGTCCTCTACAGGTCAAAGTTATGATTTGGTCTCAAAAACTGGGATATGATGGGGTAACATGTGAGAACACATGAGTAGGCTGGATGGTGGTATTGAAAAACAACTGGAAACGCGAGTCATTTGAATGTGATAAAGCCTCGACGATCTTGTATAAGAGCCTATCAACATGGTAATCAATGATGAAATAAACAACTTCGAGTTTTGATAGATATGGTAGAAAACCATCAACATCCAACATCAATCAATTTAATTGCAATAACTGTAACTGGAAGGATTCCTACTCAAATATTGGCTCCTCCAGCAGCTGGGAACATGTTTTATTTTGCAACTGGCACTTCTGTTGGACTTCTGTGGAAATACAACATATGGATAAATATGGTGTAATATGGTCACATAAATAAGAGTTGTTGGAATGATAGATCAGCATCCCTTTCAGCGGACTTGAGAGCAACTTGTGTTTGTTTCATTTGTGATCTGATTGCAAATTGTGCAAGTGATTGACAGCTGGCTTTACAGTGCAATGGCACTATTTAGGTCGCACAAACAAGGTCAAAATGCCTCCAGCAGGATTCTAGCAAGTGCTGCATGGGGAAGAAAACAACCGTCATAGTTCCAATACCAACTGCAGCAGTGTCTAGGTATCTACTCTTGTAAATCACAAAACCTGCTTCTTTATCATCCGCAGTGGCCGCTGCAGTACCTGCATGGTGAAGGAATTTGCATGCTACGGGACCGAATGCTTGAGGTATGTGGTAGGAAACGACCAGCTGCTGCGAAAGGTCTACAAAGGCCTCGACTACCGGGATATTGTTATGGATTGGGAGTCTATTTCAATGTTTCTTTGTGTACATATTATGTATGATTATGTATGTGCACATATATTATATAGTTGGTGCTTAAGTTGGTGCACTCTGCACCTATTGAACTGTTCCTGCCTGATGTGCGTAAGCTATGTACCCTCTGATTATTTAACATAGCCATGGAAAATAGCCCATAGAAATAGATGATTTTCCCAGCGAACTCAACCTCCATTTATGGGCCAGGGATTTTCCATGGCTAGCCCTGTTAGTCATAACCAGAGGCTACCAGATGTTTTGCAGGTGAATCCAGCGGCACGGTGAAAGTCTCGCGGCTGTGAATCCAGCGCTGGGAAACATGACATGTGGGAAACGTATTGGGTTTCACCCAATGCCGCATTTGGAGATGCTATTTATGGCAGCGATAAAACATGGTGATTCTTAGGTCTTAGGATGATTTTTGATAATTTTTGATGATTTTTGCCACATCATAAACCATATTATGCCTATAGATAAAGCCAACCCCAATGTATTATTGCCACAGTTTCCACATAATAAACCATATTATTGGGTTTGTTATACAAGGAATTTGTACCAACAAAGATAACTTCCTGGGTGGCCCTGCTCCGGAATCGTGGTGGGTTAGTTCCCCCCAGTGAATTCTTGGCTGAAGGTGAACCACCAAGGTTTCGTTTTGATTGGAACCCGCCACTGGTTAAGTTCTCCCGGTAAAAAGAATGCAAAACGATCCCCATGTTGTTTTTTCTTTATTTGAACTTAAACTCCTACCTTGATTGCTTCATCCTCCATTTGTTGAACGGTTTTAACCAGGTTTTTTCTTTCTGATTCTATGGCCATGTTCCACCAGCACCACCATGGCTGCTCCACCTCCAACCGAGGCCGGAACCACCTTAGGTCAAATAGTGCTGGCGAATTCGGGCAAGGGCGGCTCGGTGAAAGCAGTGCATGGGGGCCATGGGGTACACCTATACAACTCATGTGTATAGTACTAAACCATGATGATAATAATATCATGATATTTAGGCTTAGTAGAAATGGGATTGTGATGGATTATGGATTTGTTCACGGATTGCGGTACGTGAATGGTCAAAATGACTCGTAAAACGTATACATCATATTATGTGTATATATTTTATATATAATGTGTATATACACCGACTCACACACTTAAAATATAGTAGCGTCTATAAAGAGAGAGAGAGAGAGTAATGATTTTCGTATGAGGAAAGCACTGGGATCTAACACCAAAGTGTCAATGGCCAGTGTACAACATCCCCAATGGCAGGATGCGAGTGTGTGGAATATGATTACAGTATTTCTCAGACTTACTTACTATAGGAATCATGTTGAATATTGATCAACGGGAACTCTTTGCCGAAATGCTCTACAAATCAAAAAACCTGGCACATAACCGATTCCCTGCGGATTTTGAGCCTCCCAATGCTACAGGCTTTAGCCTATGGGATTAACAATGGTTGTGAACCACTTTCAAGTATGATGCATTTGCGTCCCGAAATAGGCTATATGAATATGGTAAACCCAGAATTACAACTTCAATGGGGCAAACATGGTGTTCCCAGAATTGCAGCTTTGATGGGGTATCAAATAGGGAACTCGTATGATATTGTGATAAACCGTGGAAAATCATGAATCATTGGGTATCCTATTCTTGGACACATAAAATGATGAACATCTACGCTGGAGCCGCCTGCAGGCCTTTTCGCTGCAGTGGCAGAGCCAGACGCTCCCGGGCGAATTCGCTGCTACAAGTTCCCGCTGAATGGTGCTTGGACGCAGATCTTTCTGTGGGGCATTCCAGAAAGCAAAAACATGTGGCGCTTGAAAACCAATACCTGCATGTATTAAATTCAATAGCAATGGATGCAATGTTTAAAATTTGCTGTAGCTGCATTTGGGACAATTTTTGGGGTACGTGTGGGTCAACGTTCCATACGTGAAGCATTGGAGATGATATATATATATATATACACATATATGATTGATATGTATGATTTATTTGGTACAAAAAATCAAAAAGATCAAAGAAGGCACGTTCTAGTGTCGTGATTGTTTGCTGGAAACATACTGGTTGACTGTACCTTTGTGGGTTGGATTTGGGACTGGGAACAAACATATTGCCAGATGTTGTGCAGCTTGCGCTGCTGTCAAATGCTGTCAATCAATGCACACGTGACAAGCTGCTGGTGAATTCAGGCATGGAATAAGACTTTTACAGTACATGTGCTGAGAATTGGTGTGTAAACACAGGAATTCTCCCCCGAGATGGGTAAGTTGGCCTTGCATTAGGGTAAATCGAATATAATATATTATATGTACAAAGATATACTTTGCCAGGATTCCAAACCAACTTACACCATGGGCGGGGGCTTCATGCAAGTGATCCCCATGGGTGCGTCTATGTGAGCAGGGAAGTCCATTCAGCCATATCCTTCGACTTCGTCTGCTGACGCCGGAAGAGCAAGTGACATGTGCATGGAACATTCACGAGCCATTTACCAACCATTGAAAAAAACATTTACTAGTGTATAGCCATTCATTTACAAACCACTTGCCAACCATTGACTAATCATGTCCTTGTCATTTACCAACCATTTTCCAGTTATAAGTCAGTAAGTCACCCCATTTATGGAATGATCACCCTATTGACAGTCAGAACAACTGCTCTCTGCTTGAACTGTAGTTATTTCCCAACCAACCCACCATTGAGGCGGTGACAACAGCTGCGAATGGACGGACTTCTCGGCCCACGCGGCGCCGGCCACCCGTCTCCGGATCAGCGCAGATGACTTCTACCTCTTCTCCGCGGCGGAGGACACGGCGGCGTTCTCAAACGTGGCTAGCTGGGAAATCCCCCTATAAATGATGATAAATGAAGGTTTGAATGGTAAAATCATCTATACATGATGTATACTTGGGGATGCAGTTGAGGTATATGGATAGAACTTCATGGGAATTCAAAGTCCCATGTTGGGATAGCCCCCTTTTTTCCCATGGTGAATCGATCCACTTTTCGGCTTTTTTTTGCTGACATATGTATGTACGTACATATTATATATGAAACTGTGTTTAGATAGGTC